AACAATACAGTTTAAAAATGCCTCTATAGATATATATGGAAGTAAAACTGTGAGTGTGAAGACTCGGAGGCGCCCACTCCCCCACCCCAGTGAAATCATGCCACACCAAACGAACATCTCACCATTTTCTTTTGGAGCCCAGGGAAGTTTAGAATATTCTAGATTGATCTGCGCCAAAGTGACTTCATAAATTATTGCATGAAGAATAACAGGAGGAAAAGCAGTCTCAGTGGGCACAATTGATGTCAAAATTGAGACATGAACATATATTGAAAGATTTTTTTCAGCCTTAAAATTAATGGTTTTGTGTCATTGGAATGTGGCCTTTTTTCCCCCTTCCAAAGAGTTTCAGAGCCAGTGGAATCTATAAATAGTTCACAGCCCAGTTGTCTGTGGTAGATTGAGTAGAGCAGAATTGCCCGTCCTTAAGTGAAGGGGAAGTAGCTTACATTTTTAGTAACTGAATTGTTGGCCAGCATAAAGGGCCATGTGAGCAGCTTATTTATAACTTCCCATAAAGGTGTGTGTCTGCCTCAAGCAGAGAAACTGTCTGGGGTCCTTGAAATGTAAAAGTGCAGAAGAATCATTTTCCATACACAGCTTCCCTTAGCTAGTTGGTACAATAAAGTGATTGTTCCCATCCCTGGGGCTTTCAGAAAAGAGGGGTGTCGCTAGATTAGCTCATTAGTGTCGCCTCCTATGGAATAGAATGGACTGAGGCCGTTAAATTTGAATCTGAGGTTTTGTGTAATGAGGAGTGTTTAGATATTAACTCCCAAGGGTATTCAGGACATAAATGTAAGCTTGGTTTAACCTGTTGGATGTGGTCCCCCACCTATTCCACCTACATAGTCTAACCACTATTAGGTTATTGTCAAAATAGTTCTGGGCTTAAAAGCACTTTATTCTTTCACAGGTTCAGCTCAACTATAAGTTGTTTTTTTTGTTTTTAAATAAAGAACATAGAATCAGACTGATTCTCTGGTAACAGTGGGAGAAGGGAAGAAGAATAAAACATTCTCATGGCACCCTGTAGAGAGTATGGTTAAACCCTTCCACAGATGCCAGAAAATGGGACCCATTTTTACATGTTACCAGTGTCATCACTCACACCAAGAGGAAATCCCAGCCAGCTTTAACTCTAAGGATGAAGATTTTACCATCATAAATAACGCAAGCAATACTGTTCTCGGCTCTCTTTTGTTGCCCATTGGTTTTTTCAGAAACTTGAGTTTTTCTGAATATTATGTCGACCATTAAATCATCTGCATATATGGTTAAAATGTAAACTTTGGCTTTCAAGCCAATGTCGGTGGCTTTGTTTTGTATTCGGGCAAGTTGTAATAAGTGGTAAATGGCCCATTAACTATATTGGAGGCCTCATAGCAGCACTAATTTCAAATCGTGCTGGGTTTACAATTTACATATTAAAAAATGTTCACTTGATTTTGTTCAGGGACAAAGCTGACATCCTATATAAGCATTACTTCAAACAATCCTATTTATTGGTCCAATTATTTCAATTGAAGGATGCTGGTTTACTGCCTTTCAGTATATGTGAACAATTCTCAGTGAAACTGTGGCAGAATAACCTCACAGGGTTCCGATTTACTTTTAATTTTCAGTCCCAGGATTAAAGATCATTTATAGTATAATGTAACAGTGTGGGCAAATATGGCTTCTCTTAATGTCTTTCTGATATTTTGGGGAAAGAGTGCTTCTGTGCAAAGCATTCACTTATGAATTGCATGGACTGCCTTTTCTTACAATAAAATGTCATTCACATTTCCTCCCTTCTCCCACATCCATAAGAGATAGGACAGCATGCAGTGTTTTTCTTTATTTTATTATTATTTAAAAACATTTTTTGAGATGTGGTTTAAGGTAGTTCTTTAGGATAGATGCCCAGGTAACCAGTTAATACTGTTTTGAAATCAGGCTCTTAATTTAAAATGCTTAATTTGTGCAAGAAAACTACATGTTAAAATGAATTTGGAAAGATTAGATTGGAATTGCCTCAAATTCAATTAAGCCACACTGCATGGACGTGCTGGGAATATTAATACAATCACTGTAAATTTTGTACAAACTGATTTGTTGCATTATCTTGCTCATCTAACATACGGTACTTTTTGTGTCCATATTGCAGACGGCAACTCCAAACTAACATGGCAGTCAGACTGTGTGATGTGGCTTCTCTGCTTAGAAGTGGTTCGTGGGCAGCAGAGCCTTGGACTGGGGTCTGTGGGATTTTTCTTAAATTCTGTAGGCTACTTTTTTTTTTAGCATGTTGCAGGAGTGCTGAGGCCATACCAAACACTTGAACTTTTCATTTGGCATACTAATGAATTATTCTTACATTCAGCCTGTTACGTACGGTATGGCCGTCATTAGGACATAAGGCACATTGCAATTTTAACCATAGTGGTATATGTAGCACCAGAACCATGCTTTTGTCTCTTTTTATAATCTAAATTAGGATTTAGTGCAGACTCAAAGAAAAGAGTGATAAGCTTTAAAAAAACAAACAAAAAAAGTTTTGGTATGGTCTAAATACTAAGTTACCGTAACTCTTTACATTCTGTTTACTATGTATTTTTTTGGTTACTAAATTTTGAAGTTATTCACAATTCCTGATGCTCCAAAAAATGTTGAAATTGTAAATCTGGCTAGAAATTATTTGCCCAGTAACTGTTGAAAGAGTTTGCATTCTGTGAACAGTTGTGTTGAGCCTATCAATGGAATATGCATTATTTGTAAAATATAGCACATTAGTATCATTTTATTCTGAGCAGATGGTCCTATAGCTGAGAGATGCTGTAATTTTCAGTGCACACAGCCTACTGCAGCTGTTCACTTGAATGTTGGCTTAGGAGCTCATTCTTGCCACCTGAACACTGAAATAAATGTGCAATTAAGTGAGGAGTGTTTGTTGTCCTTGCTAAATCCTGCTAATTTCAGTCAGTGAACACTTTATATTTCAAATGCTATCCCAGTGAGCTTTAGTTCACATGTCGTATTTGAGACTTACCTCATTTCTTCAGATACGTACCCTAACTTTTGAATAGTGATTTGTTTTAATTGGCTTTGGCTTCTCTCATCTTGCAGCTCATTGTTTTCATAACTGCTGGGCAAAGGTTAATCCCACACAAATTTTGCTGTGGAAAGTGACCCACAGCTAATATTCTACAAACTGGAACAGTTATGATTTATTAGGAAATCTGAAACCCCCTTTCTCAGTTTCAGATAAATTTGTTAATTATAATAAAATGTGTATGTTGAATTGTGTCAGATTTTTTTCATGCAGGTGTACAGAGGTTTCTTTATTTTTCTCTGTTCCTTTAGCAATTTCTGAGAATACTTGTTCTAGAAATGTAGCTTGCAGCTGGTAGAATAAATACCCATTTATTTGAAAAGGAAACGGAGTCTCACGGGGTTATGGGTTATTTTGTATTGCATGGGTGCTCTGGATTTGCCTCCCATTTTTAATCATGATAGCACTGAGTCTTGTCCAGCCAGTTTCAGTCTGTCTTGTGCTGCGTTCTTTTAAGAGTATTTCTCAGCAGCAGAGATTTCTTCCTACATACTTATCCAGTGTTATGCCTTTTATTTTTCCTAGGCAATATATTTTTTAAAAGATCTTTATTCTTTTCTTTTTCTGTAACACTCCCTCTGCTTTGCCTTTTAAATTTTGTCTAACATTCTTTGCTTTTTATATGTTGAAACTTCCCTAAAACTAGTGTCCCATCAATTCAGAATGTTCAATTTTGAGAAGTTTTTTGGTGAAATGAGAGGTGTATTGGATGAAGGGTAATGCTTTCAGTGATGCCTTGGTTTTTGGATTCCCCCCAATCTTGGCTACCCAAAGTAGATAGCTATTGAAAGATGGTTTTAGAAAATTTGGGACTGTGGTTGTGACTGTTTTTCTCAAAGAGCACAGGATTGATTTTTAGGAAACTAGACCCAAATTTTCTTGTGATTTTTCGAGTAGCCTGAACAGTTTGAGGCCATTTGCCTCTCTTTATCCTGTATATGGAGTTTATAGATGCCTTTTCAACAGGCTTCTGTGCTCAGTTGAAAATGACTTGGGCTAGTCTGATTGCAAAAGTTGACATATTTACACAGTTGGTGTAGTGGACTGGATAGTTTTTTTTTTTTTTTTTTAAGGTCAGAGTTAAAGCAGAATACCATATTGAATGGTTTGGGGATTTTATTTTGATGTGTTAGATCAGTTGCCTTGTTGGTGATCTTTAGCTGCAAAGCTTGACAAAAATGGCTTGCTAGCTTCTACAAGGTACACTAAGTACTCATAGCTTCTTTCCCAAGTTATCCTACAAATCCTTTTCATTCCCTAACATATAACATATGATATTTTCTTATTTCTTATGAACAGTAAGGGTATTAAGATACTGTCAATCAAAAACATTTTCAATATGTAACCAAAACAGTACATGTTGACAAATTTATATTTTTTAAAGTATTTTTGCTACTTGATTTTCAGTTAATGGATGTCTGTCAGTTTTAGAATATTGCAGTTCTTAGGCAAACTGAAAATCTCTTCAAAGTTAGGTAGAACATTTTTTGGTTTGTTTTGGTAGCATGTTAAGCACTTTTATTTTCTAGTATGATTTTTAGTTAGGAATCAATTCTCTGCCTTTTGGTCCTAAATTTTCTGATCCTAAATTTTCTGAAGTCTGTGGACACTGCAGGTGAGTAAGGGTATGTGAATAGACCCAGAATGTGGTTCTAGAGAATGTTTAAGATTTAAATTGTGCTTATGTGCATGTATGGAATATGTATGTGTAAGTATAACCATGATCTTAATTGAATAGCTTAATATGAAGTAAAAATTAGCATAAGTGTTGCATTTGTTGAAGCTTTATTGTGATTTCAGCAAAATGACTTGTGTTCTAGTGACATGTTTAAGTTTTTGGATGGAATCTCTAATAATATAGTTTGTGAAATATGAATTCTGACATTTTTTATTTTCTCTGTTTTAGCAGGTAATTGCTGCCATGGAAACACAACTGTCTAATGGGCCAACTTGCAATAACACAGCCAATGGTCCAACCACCATAAACAACAACTGCTCCTCACCAGTTGACTCTGGGAACACAGAGGACAGCAAGACCAACTTAATAGTCAACTACCTTCCTCAGAACATGACACAGGAGGAACTAAAGAGTCTTTTTGGGAGCATCGGTGAGATAGAGTCTTGTAAGCTCGTAAGAGACAAAATAACAGGTACGGAATTTTACGTAGTTTATTCATATTTAAAGGACAGTGTTTAAAGGTGTGAGAAAACAAGTTTATTCCTTGCATATCACTGTGCTGCTGTTTTACACATCTGGATATTTTCTCTGTTACTGGACTCTGTCAGCAGTGTGAAACTTAGTTTTAAGAATTTTGTTTTCCTTTTAAAGCAGAGCATTGTTTTATGGGTGGTATATATTAAAAGTAGACTTCTGTGCACTCTGAGCTTGATAATAACATCTTTGAAAAGTGTTCTAAGAGTGCATGTGTTTGGGGCAGCAAGTGTCATGTTAACCTTTAGTTTTTCCTTCCCCGAGCTTACATGCTTTAGCATTTCAGCAGTGAGATGATAAGGAGAATATTACTGTGTTTGGGGGGAGAACCTCTTTAAATACCCTTTCTCATAGTCTGTATAGTCCTTCTGCTTATGATGTATACGAACAGAGTAAACGGAAATATTCACATTATCAGTGTATAAGTATTTGCACTGATAGAGTTTGAGCATAGCAAGGTCTTACGTTCTGTCCTCGACAAGGAAAGGAGGGTGTTTGCGTGTCCCCCTCTCACAGACAGGAGTGTGAGGATGGGTCCTTCGGCCTTTGATAATGGGTGTTATGTTTTGAATATTAGGGAGTGGACAGTCTTCTTGGTATTTTGTAAGAATTGCCTAAATTTTTAGAATAAGCAAGAACCCAATGCAGAGCACGTTCGAGGGGTAGAAGCATTATTTACTGCTTTCTGCGGGGGCTTTTCTCCGGCACTGACGATGCATGGAGTTCGTGCAGACAGGCTCCATAGCTTCACCATGGTGGCGGTACATTTGGGTGATGATGTGCATCGAAGTGGTTTACCTGGCTTATAACAAAATATAAAACTAAATATTTGAAATGAATACAAGAGACTTACAGACAGTGTGATGAGTCAGTCCCAGAGTTAGAACTTCAGTCATATGACCCTTGGACATGTCAACTCTTGGCTTCAGGTTTCCCTTGGTAAAATGAGGTAGAGGACAAGGTCACAGAAGGTAATTTCTGAGGTCATTGTGACTTTTCCTGAGATGGTTGAGTTGTTCTTCTATCAGGACAGCAGTGCTTATTCTCTCCAAGTTAGGTGAGCTCTTAGGGCAGTCACCTGCGTTCCACCTCACAGCTGTATTTCCTGGATCAGCAGCTTGAGGCTCCCAGAGAGAACTTAGTCATTGGAGTCAAGTAAATTAAATAAAAACTAAGTGACACTCGGTTGTCATCAGTCTATGCTGAGTAATTGTATTTTAACTAATTATGTTACTTAGATGTTCACCATGATATCAACAGGAAGATTTGTCCTTTTTTTAAATACTGATAATCAAAATCTTTTCCCCAAATTTGTGTAAACAGCATAGGTAAAATTTTTAAAGGAACAATTTTTGAAAGAGTTGGAAAAGGTAGAGAATAAAAGGTTCTTATTACATGTTTCTGCTGTGATACTAAGTTTTATTTTATTATTTTTAGCAAAACAGCATCCTTTTTATGTGAAGTTTGCAACTTTTTGATGTAAATGACTGTGTGGTAAATGGCATGCAGGCTGTGATCTGTTGACGTGAGGACGTGTTTTCTGATTTGATTGCTGAGCACCTGTCCCTACCACTAAAAAGAAAAGATGCTTCAACAAATGCTTGCCAACTGTGTTAACATTAGTTGTTCATTTCTCTCATTCCCCCAGGCCTACCCCCCACCTTTGTCTTTTTGGTGAAAGGGGGGCTAACAGCATTTTCAACTATGGTAAAATTTCTGTTTAAAATCTCTGGTAAGCAGGTGCAGTACCCAAGAAAACTTAACAGTGAGCATGAGTGTCAAAAGATGTTTTCTAAGTTTCATCCCATGATATATAATAAAAAATAGTCCTCAAAATAAGTGTTATTGGGTCGGCCAAAAAATCTGTTTAGTTTTTTCTGTAGAATAAAAGACGTATTTCATTTTCACCAATAACTTTATTGGTTTAGATATTTAGAGTATGTCAGCTCTGTCCCGCCAGTCAGTAGGGGCCAGGGCTACTGCGAAACATCTTGTGATGCATAGACAGCCCCACAGCAAAGAACTATTTGGCCAGAATGTCAGTACTACCGAGCAACTTCCCAAAGCACTTTTGTCGCATTCGATCAGTCACAGCACCTTTTGCATATATTGCACAAATCTCTTTTTTACATTCCAGTTGTGTTTTTAGCTTTCTTGAAATAATAAAGCATAATATGTTGAAAATGTTACGTGTTTTCTTCCATCTTTAGTATTAAAATAGCGGCACAAAAATTCATTTTTCATCAGTTGTTTTATAATGCATGGTGATATGACAGCTGTTTAACAAAATTATTTTGAATGAAGTTAAAGACAGCTAAGCACTACTAGAGCCATCGAACAGAAAAAAACTAAGTGAGCTTTATGGCCAACCCCATACATTGATAGACAAGTTTGAGAAATTCTGCTTTCCATAGATTCCTATTGAAGATCCACACTGCAGATCGTTAGCATAATAAGAACTATGCTAAAACCCTGCTATGAAGAGAAACCGGTTTGACTTAACAGTCCCCCAGCCTTCTTTGACCACAGAAGTCATTTTGGAAGGTCTCCCCCCACACGCTAGATTTCCTTTGGAAATGTTGCTATAAAAGCTTTTGGAATCTTTTGTTAACTGGTTATCAGACAACCTAAAATTCTTTTATAACCTCTTCATAATCCATAAAATATAAACATGTTTCATGAAATGAAAATCCATGATAATGAACTCTAAATTTCAAAAGTTGAGTAGGCAAATCTGAATATAAAGGACCTCTTCTAGTAATGCTGTTTTTCCATTTGGCCGACTGACATCGTATTCTCTGTATGGGTTAAATAAAGTAGTGTTCAGAAAGGTCTGACTCATTTAGCTTCAAGCATAAATTTCCTTGGTGTTTTTTTTTTTTATTCTGAGTTTCTTTGTATGTATTGAACAAAATAGTAAATGGTAGATTTCTAAAACTGGTTTTTGAATGGTTGCACTTTGTAAAGAGGACATATCTTCTATAAGAAGCTATTATTAACATATACCTAGAAATATTTGAACGAATTCATGAGGACTGGATCCTGCCCTATGGTGTTCAGCATTAGCCAGCTTATACAGTTTCTCAGTACACATTTTTAGGGTCAAGTTCTGAGTTCCTTGGGCCCTCTCTAATTATCCAGTGTATCCTTCCTCCCAGGGAGCCATTGGGCCAGCTCTTTGCATTTCAGTTTTGTAGGAGGGGAGAGCATTAATTGTCTGGGTTGTAAGAAAACCCTGGGATCATTCTTTGGAAAAAAATGTAAATCTTTCCTTAAGTAATGCTGATTTAGGAGACTGTATCATAGGTATAAAAATATCTAGTTAGGAAACTGTATGCCTCTTCCCTAAGTGCTAAAAGAGAGTATGTGATTTTTAGATTATGTTGGTATTGTCACTACTTTGATAGAATGAGAATTAGGGAAATATCCTAAGACATGTCTTCAGTAGCAAATACAACAGCCTTCTCTATCGCTTAAATTCTGTTGATCATGTTGTTTTTCAGTCGCTCTCCCTGGGCTTTCCCCAGCTTTATGCTTCATTCTGTTCCCTATGTATAGGCATTCGTGGTGAGAAGCCACTGCTGCTTGCACAGCTTAGCTGTGTTGTGGGTTCATCCCTTTAAGTTCTTAAATGCACTTCGGTGTCCTGGACACCTGCTGATGCTGCTTTTACAGGAGTGAAATGGGTTTTACGGTGCAAGGAATAAATAATAGAGCATTAGAGTCAGAAAAGCCCTTGAGGTGACCATAGCCAACTTTCTCACTTAACAGGTGATGAAAGGCCAGGTTTGTTGAAATGATGAGTCCAAGACCATGTGGCTGTTAAGTGGCAGAGCAGGGACCGGAATTGTGGTTTTCGTTTTCTTTCCTGGGATGTTTCCTCCTTGCCTCTTGGGAGGTCAGAATTCTTGAATAATTAAACACAGGGCCAGCTGATGGATTTATAGTGAGGCATTAACCTTGTACAGGGGGGAGGGTCATCATCTGGTGAGTGTGTCTTCTCTAGGAGGGGGAGGAGAGATTTTTGGGAGTCAAGTACTGAGGGATCCACAAAATGAACATCCTTCTCTAGGAACTTTATAATCTGTAGTTGTGAATTTGGATAATCTAGCCCAGCTATTGCAAATGTGGCTGCACATTCTCACCTGACGGAGTCTTTAAATTAAACACAGATTCTGGAGGCCTTGGGAATCTCATCATCAGAAAGCTCCCCAGGTGATTATGATGGGCAAGCAAGCCCTTTGGGGAATCAGTCACTGAACCTAACAAGAGGCTGATAATGCAATGTTATATATTGATTTTATCTCAGTTAAAACTGGAGGAAAAGATGAAAGGGAGAAGAGGCACACAATTTTCATTCATCAGTGCATTGGAGTTCACAGGAAATCATTGAAACACAAAGAAGTGGTTAGACTTGGGGGTTTATATTCCATTTTAGCAAAGGAGAGAGGGTTTGAGCTGCGAGGCACAGTGCGCTGTGGAGAAGTGACGAGCACATATGTGGTGGAAAGTAATGGAGTACACCAAGCTGTTACAGCGAATGTTGTTTCTGGGTCTCCATTTTGGTGGTGAGTTACTTTCTCTTCCTGGTACAGGAGAGAGGATGGGGGTGCCTTCATTCACAGGGAAATTGGTGGCCTGCTTTTACGCAAAAAAGGAGACGGCAGAGTTACCGTTCCTGTGTCCGTTGCTCCTTAATTGCCTTCAGCTGGAAATAATCCGTTGCCAGATTGGCATATTTGGAATGTTGTATTCTGGAGCCCTTCACCATGAAGTAAGTTAACTCTCAGCAAACCTCAGTAGAAAGTTTCTTCTTTGGGGTATCCTGTGGTGACAAAACCTTAAATGGCTAATTGCTGGAAAGAAAAAAGCATCTATTGTGAGGATATAGAAAAGTTTGAGACAACCATTACTGATTAATTTGTAAATCAGTTGGAT